CCTCTGGTGCAAATTACTGACCTCTGTCATCATTTTAAGTGGGGGAACTTGCACAATCGGTGGCTGACTAAATACTTTTTTGCCCCACTGTATCGTCCTGCCAGGTATGTTGACATGTGCCAATACAAAAGCGTTTTCACAGAAAATAATCCAGATTACAAAAATGGAGCCAATTTTAAAGAATTGTTTTTCAACAAAATGTAGCATAATTGTATCAGGATCAACCTGGGTTATTCTTTTTATCATCTGTCAATATTAGCTATTTGCCAATCAATTGGTATCTGCATTTATAATAGCCAGTAAATTCAAGTTTAAAATACAAAGGGAACCAGGTGAAAACACCCTTCAGCTATGTTATGAATGTTAACATTGCATAGTTTGTCCAGCAGAGGCACTTTGCAACTTCCTTGTTGGAACCACATATGTTTGGAAGACCACAAACATAACAACCACGTGATCCAAGCAGAGTCAGACACAGCATAAATGTGTAAATAAATAACTGCACATAATAAATGTTAGGAAAATTTATTTATGTTTCATTTCTGAAAGCCAAAAACTATTGGCCGGCATATTGAATATTTATGCTGACTTGCTCACAACAGCACTGCTAACATCCTGATGTTAAGCAGTTGTTATGGTTACCCTATTTACCACCTTATTTGGCAATCCACAGATTTAGATAAACTAAAATGACCTGAAAAATATAAAATAATGTACAAAAAATGTTAAAATTACTATTTACCCCTCCAGAACACAAATATGTCAAGCAGATTTCTATATAATAGCAGTAACAGCAGAATTTTGGGATTTTTTTTTAAATCTGCTGTCTAGTTTATCACATTTAAGCCTCATTAATAGTTTCAGATCCTTAAGCATGAACGAATGTGGTGGCAAACCAAGAAAGAAGCAAGCTGCTGGTGTTGCTACAACTGGAAATGCAGTTAGTTCAGCCTCTGTTGTGGTAAAATTGCACTTTCCATTTCACCAACATGGCCACACATTCTTCTTTCAGGGGCATACGTTTGATTCAATCATGCACCTGGACAAACAAAATGACTTTCGCATGAACCTGAAGCTAAACTACAGCTCAATAAAATCTCCTTCCACACAGGAACTCCCAACGCTTTTTCCATCCAACTCATGGCAGCCACTTCTCCATTGATCTTGTCCATCAGTATTTGCTATGGGCATGGCACTGTGTTGCGTGCGTGGAGGTGCGCCATAAAACTTTACTAGGCATGCTACAATAGTAGTCTTTATATCACAGCAGTGTGCCACAGCTTGTCTACACAAAGCCCAGCATTGAAATCTGGATCTCATTCAGTCCTGAGAGTTGCTCCTGTTCAGCTGTGTCCTCTGAGGGTGGAGACACCACTTCCTCTTAGTATGTGTAAGTTCTAGCGCCCATAATGATTCACATGTCTGGGCCTCGAGACCGGCCCTCCATCAGATTCTGTGAGCGAATGGAGGCAACGATTTCGAAGCGACCCCCACCCCCATCAACATCCCTCTCTCAAACTGGTGACACAGCAAAACAAGCAGACACTCCGCTTACCAGAAATCTGGCAACGCTTCAGTGACTGGCCCACCCAGGCTTCCACATTTACAGGAGAATAGGCAGAGAGAGAGTGAAAGAGGCAAAAAGGAAAAGAGAGAAAGAGATGGCGAAACAAAACTAAAACGTCCAAAAGTTAAAACAAAAAAAGTTGAAAAGACAACAATTTGACAATTTTAGAAAAGAAAATCCACTTTTTTTTTTTTTTTTTTTACTTGTGTAACCAGTAGTTTTTAAAGAGCCAAGAATACTCTATTATTCTTAGTCCCATGTTCACTATGGGAGCCATGCTTTCAGAAGCCCTTGTCATGTGGTGGGCGGCTGTGTAGAGCCTGGCTTCCCCAGGGACTGAAACCCTGGTGGGTTGGGTTTCACCTGCGACACAAGGCTCACTAGTCAACCAGTGCACACAGAGAGAGTCAGGACTGAGAGAGGAGGAGGATAGCTGGAGGGAAACACTTCTGCTGAGGTAAAAAAAAAAATCATGCCTGAAACATAAGGCTTTGGGGTCAGTATCAGCCTGGCAAAGACCTCAATCTGGGCCACTCGATGGCTTTGGAGTATATGAAAGAGGGCATAGATTTTGTACTTTCAACTGTGTTTTCTTAAGTTTCACAGCTTTTCTTACTGATAAAGATACCCCCCCACACCCACACACACACCCCACCCCACCCCACATTGCCATTGTTGTTCATATTATACTAGAGTAATTAATAGATAAACTTGAACAGAAAATCTTCTGTTTTTAATTTTTACTATCGCCTGTAGAAATTTCTATTTTTACAATGGGTCCACAGAAAAATACATTTTTTTCTGTATATTAATGAAGACTTTCAGTTTTGCAGTTGCAAGAGAGTCTGGGCAATGACCAATGACAATTTCTTTGATTTACTACAGCAACTTTTCCATATAGAATAGAATTCAGAATAAGCATGTAAAAAATAGACACCTGCTGTTCAAATTGCACTTCTTGTTCTTCTATGAATTGGAATTAAATGTGTCTTTGACAGAAATGGAAACTGTGGACCATCATGCAGAATAAGTTTGACAACCCTGCATTATGCAAACACCTCAGACACACACAAGCTAAGGAGGTAGTCACTTACATATAAAGGCAGCTCCCTCTGGTTCACGTCCATTTTCTCTCCATCCACCAAAGACCTGGAGACAAAACAGAGGTGTTACTATGACATCGGGTTAATAACAGCACCGCCTAATGCAACCTATAGCCATGCTACAACTGAAGCATTGAATGTTGCACCAAATTTATTGCACTTGTGTTATTGTTTGGCGTGAAACTTTAACCTCCATGATCTGACCCTCCTCTTAGCCCCACTGTCTCCCAAAGTCAGGACCAAGAGATCGCTTGCTATTTTTGTGTGCCACGTTTCAAAACATTTCCTGAGGTGAGTAAGATGAAGACTCTTATAGGGCTTAGTTCGCTGCCTGCATGAATGGAAAAACAATAGCCTTCAGACAGGATACAGCAGTGGTAGAAAGGGTAACTGTATCATCAGCACACACCTGATCCACTGTGACTTCAGTCTCAGCTGTGAATAGTGCATGACTTCAAAGCTGCACAGCAGGTCTGCAGGCTGCGCTTTGTCTAGACACTCATCTGCATCAGCTGGGGCACATCCAGCAGGCCTTGTGGCTCTGCAGACTTTTTGCATGTCCCAAACAGGCAAAAGTTCCATTAAATGAGCCGAATGTCAATGTAATCCTAACCCATAAATGGCTCCCTTGCATGAATAAACTGTAGCCATGATTTTATTTTAGGAAAATTTTCATTTAATTGTATAAAGTAAGCCACGTGAATATCCTGGCTAAAATATCGTGGATTTTTTTATGGTAACCATAATGAAAAAACAGCTATAGTTTTGGGTAGATTAAGTACTTCCTGCTTTTAAAAGATGAACCGTTAAAAAAAAAATCTACCAGTATGCAAGTTTTCACACTTTTGAAGAAATTATGGTTAAAATTGTGTTGTTGGGTTTTTTTAACCAACCAAAATCAGGAATCATGCTTTCATGTTTATTAATTTATTAACTGAATACTCTTCTCGGCTTTGATTTCAATACACATATTTTAATGATTGTTGAATATTTTTTGATTATGCCACTTCTTCCATATAAAAGTACGTAAAGGAAAGGTGGGCAGGTCAATTCATTTACAGTGGTGGAAATGATTATTTTAATTTCTAGCTAAATTTTTAAGAATAGAGCAGGATCTAATTCTGATGGTAGTTTAAATTTAATGGAGAAAGACAGGATATCAAAAAGAAAAAAAGACTACATAGAAATTATAAATCGATTTACACATCAATGGGTGAAATAAGTTTTTTTACTTATATCCATAGGATTACACTACTGTGATGTACAACTAATGATGGTTAATCTATCCTATTACAGATTTTTTTTTAAATGCCCACAAATGCGATTGTTCTGCTCATCTTCCCTTTATAGAAAGTTCAAAACAAGATTCACGTCCAAACACAGAAGGAAGACCTCACCTGAGCTTCACGAGCTCAAAAACAACTTTTGAATAGACTGCAGGTGAAAACAAAGATTGGATGACCAGGAAACCAAAGTAAGGCACACCACCATCTACGGATTAACTTTAAACCCAACGTTTATTGTCTATTTTTTTCTAATACTATGCAAAGCATTAGTGTCATTCATTGTCCTCAGTCTGACTATTCAGTATGAAGGAGAAACCTGATATGAGTCGTGGCCAGGCACGCCAAAACAGAGCGTGAGAAAACAGAAAAAAGATTACACATAACCGCACGCTGTCAAAAAGCATTTGGAAAGCATTTTGACATACATAGATGGGAGTATGTAAACCCTGTCTTCATCAGCCCTTTTTCAGATGACGCACGGTTAAACTATTTAATTTCCGTTCACATGGCAAGCTGCAAAAACAGGCTGTCGAAAGCATTTTTATGCACACAGTGAATGACAACTGCATAACTCCACACTTTTCAACATGACGTATTTAAACTTAATAAAAGAGTTCACAAATTCATGAATGATGTATGGCGACTTATGAGTGTCTCCGTAAATTAGAGTTATCGGACTCGGAATGTAAGGTATTACTTAGAGGAAAGCAACCTCGCTTTCACACTAATGCATGGAGCAGCCACACAAAGAAGTGAAAACGGGGGACCGCACACATTGTGAGCACTCCTATGAACAATAAATGATCTCCACTGCTACTGTCAGTAGGAAGCGAAACCCCTGCACTTAACAGTCAAATACAGTCAGTAAACGAATCATTTATCTCTCTCCGGGATCACAACAGCGGGTTTGAATAGACAACATAGACAGGGGAAAACGCGCGTTTTGCCTTTTACCTGTGAACGCACCAGCATTTCACTCCATCCACGCCTCACGTGAACAATTAACAAGTAAAAAAAATATATATACAAAAATTTTAAAGTACATGAAAACAGTTTCGCTGTCTGCACACTCTTCTTTCCTTTAAGCTTTAATGAAAATCTGCGTGAAACGGAACTTTTCCGAGTGAGGATGAATCAGCTTCCCATTACCTGCTGCGCTTTCCTCCCTCCCTCCGCTTTCTCGCTCCGGGAGTCTATTTGGAAAGTGTTTGAGCCGCTCGCTTCTGCTCCGCGTAGTAGTTGTGACTAATAAACATACTTTATTAATGCACCTTTTATTCCGAATGAGTTGTTTCTTTCCGCTTCTTTCAGGTTTCCATGTTTTTGCTCCGAGAGAGAGCAGGTTAGGAGTCTGCAGGTGTCGCCAATGTTTTTCCTTTTCCTTTGCTGCCTGTCCTTTTTTTTTTTTTTTTTTTTTTTTTTGGTCCACCCCTTCAAGGACCGGGCAGCATGAGTGAAACCTCTCCGGGAGGCAGGGCCAAACGTGGCGACGTGTGCTTAATTCCGTCTCTATAAATGTAACGTCCCCAGCATAGGGAACTCATAATGACATTTAATGCTTCATTTGACATTTCCTTTAACTGAGCTCCTGTGTTTAGTGTTTATCGTTTTAATTTTCTCCAATCAGAGATCAGCCTGAGTGATGTCACTGTGATCGAGTACAAAGAAACCACAGCAGCAGCGGTGAAAAGACTATAAGTACAAAGTCAATTCAATTCACTTCAGTTCAGTTACATTTTCTCACACAATAGTCGCCTCAAGGGACTTTATATTGTAAGGTAAAGACCCTACAGTAATACAAAGCCCCAACCATCAGATGACCTTGTTCAAGCAAGCACTTGGCAACAGTGAGAAGGAAAAACTCCCTTTTAATTGGAAGAAACCTCATCCAGAATTAGGCTCAGGGAAGGACAGCCATCTGCTGCTACCTGCTGGGGGTAAGGGGAGGGAGACAGATGGAAGAGAGCTAGAGATTAATAATAACTGGAAAGAATGCAAAGTGATTAAAGCACATTTTTATTCTACTACACTTCTTCCACACTTTAATTATTATTAACCTTGGAAAAAAATTGCTCCACTTTTTCAGCCCCAATGTTAAAATGCACCTTACACATTAATACAACATCAACATGCCACATCACTATTCTTTGAACTTCTTCTTGAGTTGGATAGTTGTAGAGTGTACGTCCTTGATAGGGATAATGGATCTTTTAAATACCAGGCAGGCTGTTACAGTAAAGTCCAGAAATTTACTGACAACTGTTTTGGATACATTAACTACATTTTTTTGTTGTACTTTTACTTTGTATTTTGTAATACAGTCTCTCACTGAGTATTTTAGCACTTTGGTGTGTGGCTACTTTTGGCATTAGCTAACATGGTAATAAATATAGTATAAATACACACACGATAAGTGTGTTTCACAGAATTCTAATGTATTATTAATATTATAAGCTAGACTGGATGTATGAATGGTCATGACCTTACACTGATAAATTCCATGTTGTTGCCAATAGCCAACTTCAGACAACATGGCCAATATCAGCTGAAACAAATCTTATATACTGATGTATCCTCATCAATCAAGGCTAGCTTTCAGTTCAATTCAGTTTAATTTCATTTATGTAGTGCCAAATCACAACCACAAACCCCATTTATATTGTAAGGTAAAGATCCTACAATAGTAGAGAGGAAACTTCAGCAATCAGATGACCTCCTATAAGTAAGCACTTGGCAACAATGGGAAGGAAAACCTCCTTTCCACTGTTGCCAAGGAAGAAACCAGGAAGAAAACCGAGCAAAACTAGGCTCAATGCAAAGTGATGTATAAACATACTGACAGTGAAAAAAGGTGAATAAAGAAGAAATACTCAGTGCATCGTGGGAAACCCAAGTAAGCTAGATCTATTGCAGCATTACTAAGGGAGGGTTTAGGGTCACCTGATCCAGCCCTAACTATATGCTTTATCAAAAAGGAAAGTTTTATGCCAAATCTTAAAAGTAGAGATGTGCCTGTCTCCCAAATCCAAACTGGGAGCTGGTTCCACAGAAGAGGGGCCTGAAAGCTGAAGGCTCTGCCTCCCATTCTTCTTTTAAATACTCTAAAACCACAAGTAAGCTCACAGGCTGAGTGCTCTACAGAGGTGATGTGCTACTTTGAGGTCTTTACGATAACATGAGGCCTGATTATTCAAGACTTTTTACATCGGCAGGTGCATGAGGGAAAAGTAAAAATGAAAGGGCCTTTCTGGACTTTGAGATGATTCTTCTTGTTTTTAGTATTTTAGCATGAACTATTGACTCAATAAATGTGGCTGTACAGCTGTTTTATGTAGTGACATCAGGTGTATCAAGCATAACTCACATTTAATATGTAAGCTGATTGGTGATTTTTGCACAATCTACTTTAGGAGTTATTTTCTTTTTTATGAAAATGAACTCAAGTGGAGTTAATTGCACACTGATAGCAGCAGGACAGAGCTGTCTCAAAATAGTGCTTAATTTGTGTGGGACTCTATACTTACTTTTTAACTGGCTCC